ACTTTAGACCTTTGGGATAGTTCACCCAAAAATTAAAATGTACTTTTACAGTTTCACCCTTGATGAGTTCATTTAGAATTTCATATGGTCATGGAAAATCGGAAAAAGTCATGGAATTTTGACATAGCATTTTCCAGGCTTGTGTTGGGAAAACAGAAAAACCCACAAAGATTTGGAAAAGTCATGGAAATTACATCTACAGTTAATCAATATTCAATTTAAAAAAACTTTTCATATATACTGTATAAATAACTTCTCAGTTATTTTTTGCATACTTTTATTGTACAGCATACAGTATATGCCATGTTGAAAATTAATGAAGATTAATGAATGAATTAATAAAACAAACAAATGAACAAACTGAACAAAAGGCATTCCTATACACACACACACACACACACACACGCACACACACACACACACACACACACACACACACACACACACACACACACACACACACACACACACACACACACACACACACTCACTATATAGACCCCAAAAATATAATTTATCCATATTTATTATTTTTGAGCCACAATATTATTATTACCATGTCTTCTATTGATGTAACTTTTTACAAAATACATGCAAGAAATCATTGAGATTTTTTTTCCTTGTGAGTCAACCTGCCATAAAAAGGAAGTGCTAAATAAGCTAGATTTTGAAAAGCTGATTTCAAAATGTGTTTCTTTATTATTTTTGTGGTTTTCGATTGGATAAAACACATTTTTTTATTTAAAAAATATGTCTTTATAAAAGGTGTACAATCTCATGAACCTAAAGTCGTGTTTCATAACTGGTTGTCACACAAACTAAGCTGGCAGCTAGCTCTCTGCAACTCTCACATGGTCACCCACTGAAGTTAAGCAGGGCTGCGCCCGGTCAGTACCTGGATGGGAGACCACATGAGAAAGTTAGGTTGCTGCCGGAATTGGTGTTACTGAGGCCAGCAGGGGGTGCCCAACCTGGGGTCTGTGTGAGTCCTAATGCCCCAGTATAGTGACGGGGACTGCTCAGTGAGCGTCGTCTTTCGGATGAGACGTTAAACCAAGGTCCCGACTCTCTGTGGTCGTTAAAAATCCCAGGATGTTCTTCAAAAAAAGAGGGGGTTTAACCCTGGTTTCCTGGCCAAATCTGCACACTGGCCTCTGTCCATCATGGCCTCTTAATCCTCCACATTTCGTAATTAGCTTCATCACTCCACCAATCAGCTGGTGTGTGGTGTGTGGTCTGGCGAAAAATAGCTGCCGTCGCGTCATCCAGGTGGATGCTGCACACTGGTGGTGGATAAAGAGATTCCCCCTATTGTGTAAAGTGCTTTAAGTGCCCAGAAAAGTGTTATATAAATGTAAGGAATTATTATTATTATTAAGCAAATTATGTTAAAAGAGATTTATCCTTTTTTTTTTTTTTTTTTTTTAAGAACGTAACGCAAACTTGAAATTGTTGTGGTAAAGTCAGCTTATCTACACTGTAAAAAAATGCTGTTAAAAAACGGTCAGATTCTACGGTAAAATAATGTTTTTTCACTAAAACAGTAATATTCTGTTAAAAACAGTGCTTTCTGGGTATCATTTTTGTTTTCGAGAAAGTAACCAACTGCAGAAAACTGTGAGCTAACAGAGTTCAGATTCGATGTTTTGAAGTCTGTGTTTGAAATCACGCTTTGTGTCCTTGTTCACTATTTCATACACTAGCTAACTAATATAGTTCACCTGACAGTTTTAATGAACACTAATGAGTGAATTCAGACACTGATGAACACCTGCTGTTAATAATTACAATTACTGAAGAAAATAAACAAGAAATACAAACAGTGACTTGAGTTACAACATTAAATAAAATCAAATAAAATAAAACAGCTTCAGTCTCAGCAGAGGATCATTAAACAACTCCACAAACAACAGCAGACACACTTACTGACTGATTTGACGTCCATACAATTCTCATTGAGATCCAACAGAAATTAAGGTGTTTTTTGTGTCACCGTAATGGAGTGAGGGGCTGGTTTAGTTGGGTTCTTCACCCTTGAACTCAATTAAGAAGACTTTCCAACTGCTGTAATACAGAGTTTACAAAACATTTGTATTGTAGCAATAATGTTGGGAAGTCATTAAAAAGAGAAATCTATTTATCTGAAATTAGTTCTGATAAATGTTTTGGTATAAATCTGGAAGAAGGGTCTCATGCAATAGATTTTATGCTTAGTTGCAGGTATTAATTTAATTAATGAGAAGTGGAAACAGAAAAGATATCTCCGTAATTACTTAACAGTTAAGAAATAACATACAAAAACAGTTCAGTTATGACAAATACACACTCAGACCTCATGAATCTGACCTTGTATCTTAACAATGGTAACATCTTAAATGTTTCATGCTGCAATGCATGCTGGGAGTGGCACTGTACAAATATCCCAGCATGCATTGCGATATAAATAAATTTTGTATAATGGTCTAACGGTTTTCTTTATTTGTGTTTGATTCTGCTGTTGTTTATGTTTAGACTTTCAGTTGCCTGTTTGTGAGTTAAACTGTTAATTTTGTTAAATTTGTTATCACCATTATTGAGGTTCATATGCTGATTATTGATGTCTCTTTGAGTGCGATTTACACAATAGAGCAGTGTTATTGTCCAAGATAATCTTAAAAACTTCCAGAAATCATTGCCATATATATACATATAATGTAAAACAATAGATTTAACATTGAATAGGAGCAGTAAATTTTATTATACTAAATGAGAACAGACTCTGCCATTTAATAGCAACATGAACATCACCAGATCTTATTTAGGTTTTTGGCTGGCTTGCCTCAGCAAAGGAGCTTTTTAAACAAAGTTCTTAACAATTGCAGCAGCCAAATTATATAAATGTTAAAAATGCCAGGGCTAAGAGCCCAACTGAAGCAAACTCTGTTCTCCATGATGGTGACGTAAAACTTTAACTTTTTCTCAAGAAGAACTTTAGTAGATGTTATACAAAAATACATGTATTAAGTAATAAGTGTAGCTGGTGATGATGTTTGTAGAGTTGTTTAATCATCCGCTGATCATTTAAATGATTTAATCATTTGTTGTTCTTCAGGTTATTTCATTATAAAGCTGTGACTAAAGTTTTGTATGTTCTGTTCTTGTTTTTTCCCTTCAGTATTTCTTCATTTAGTCATTGTTAATCCTCAATTATCATTTAATTAGTCAGTTAATTAATAAATTTACTTCAGCTTTGCTCCATGTTTCTTGAACACTCAGTAGTGTGGATACTTCAATTAAAACTGAAGTATATGCTCTGGGGTTTAAAGGGTTAAAGGTGTGAGAGGTAAAAACACAGTGTAAAAATGTATTTTAACAGTAATATACTGTTAATTTACACAACGGAAGTAGACTGTAAAAAAACAGTATATTGCTGGCAACCACAGCTGCCAGTAGATTACTGTTAAATCAAGGTATAAAACAGTATTTTACTGTAAAACCTGAAGCTAATTTCTTCTGTGTGTCACCATTGTGGAGGAGAGTAGAGCCAGTGTATGAGTTAAAGATGAACAATGAGCTGCTGATGTTATTCTTCATGTTTCTCTATTTAAAGATAGTGGCTGTTTAGTTGCTGATGCAGTCAGAATCTCTCTGGTGATTCCAGATTTACATGTATGTGTGCTGTTGTGAAGAATAAGACATTAGAGTTAAACCAAACTTTTCTAATTAACTAATATAAGTTATCATTATAAGTATGCTTCTAAGCATATATAGCACATTAATTCATAAACTCATTCAGCAGTTGACCAAGTTGAGGCAGTTGCTTTCAGTGAGCAAAATGAGTATTTGTAATTTGTAAAAAAATGAGTATTTGTATTTGTATAGGTGCATCACTTGAGTATTGTGTAAATCAATGTAGTCCATGTATTTTTACAGCAACATAATGTAAAATAACAGTACATTGCTGGCAACTGCAGCTGCCAGTATTTTACTGTTTTTTAACGGGACAATTTTTAACAGTGTACTGAGGTTGGATGTCAGCAGTTCAGCCAGAATAGCATAACAGTAAAACATCTATTTAGCTCATGCTTGCATAGGGAAATATAGCAAAATTGCTGTTGTATATCAGCGTGCATACAGTATAATGTGTAGTAATCAGCAATGCGAAGGTTCTGCAGAAAAGTGATAACATTAAATGCAAACAAAAATGGCTTATTTCCGAGCCCTGTTAAGTAACGTTAACACATTTAGTATTTAACTAGAACTACTAAAAGAGGACATTGTTTCTCAGTGAGGACATAAATGTATGACATACATACCTGTTGTTGTTTCTTAAAAAATTGCCATTACTGTCTCTTAAAGGTGTGTGCGTGATGTCATTGAGGATCGGGGAGGGGGAGGGACAGTTTGAAACTGTAACAATCTCTTCCAAGAAATTTGATGAGATAGATAGGCTACCAACTTTAGGCTACCAAGTCAGTTTATTCCAATGGCAAGTTACAAAAAATTCTTAAGTTATCGACAAAGGGTGTGTCTTGATGTGGTCAATGTTTCGCCATCAAAGAGGATGTTAACTATAAAAGTTAACTATAAAACTATCAAAATAACTAAAAATTAGCATGTATGATTAGAGCATCTACATTACCTGCCAATATTCAGTAACAGTTGTAGCGCTACCTGCTGACAGAAGTAAATTTGGCACATATCATTGACTTTTTGTTGTGTACTTTTAGTATTTACCAGCTTAAATGCATATTGGAAGATGTTCTGTCATTTTAAAGCGACCGTGCGATGGTGAGCTCTTTCAGTGCTGCTTGCAGCTTTAATTAAACGTTACACTTATCTTTCTAATAACAGTCCTTGTTATAAACAGGGTTTAACTGATGACAGCTAAATTAATAATAAAAAAATCAAAACATCTTCCAGTAGGATTTGTCTCTGTTTAATGCTATGGCCTTGTGAATTGGTGTGATTGGATATCCTCCCACTAATACAGTTGTTGTTGTTTTTTCATCCTCTGACAGATGCCTGATGACACAAGCAAGTTCTCCCCCATGGGCTGCTTCACTAAGTATTAAAGCAAAGCAGAGAAGCAAAGAATAAACATTTAAGATCTCCTTTTCTTCGAGACTCTTGGGATTTATCACTTCCCGAGGACTGCGCTTCTGCACAACCATCTGGAGGAGATGAGATGACATTCATGAAGATCCTGCGCTCAAAATGGACAACTGCTTTTTACATCCTGACACAACAATATACATACTTTATTTCAAGGAGGAATGAGTCCCAAACTGACTTTGTTATAAATTAAAGTTTCTTGACTCCTTGAAATACACATTGTGTTGCCTTTGATGGTGTTACCTATTTTAAATTGTGTTTGTGGTAAATAAAGACGTACAGGGTGTCTCTTGTACAACATTTTGTTCTGGCCGTTTATTTATTGTTTTTTTCTTTTTGGGAAAGTTCACCCATTGTAATCACCATTTACTCACCTTCAAGTGGTTATAAACCTGTATGAAATGCGTCATTCTGCTGAACACAAAGGAAGATATTTTAAAGGAAGCTGAAAACCCGTAACTGTTATCATTCATAGACATCCATAATAGAAATAATATTTAATGTGAAAGTCAAAGGTCGCCGGTTTTGGAGATAAGCTCCACATCTGACCCACAAAGCTGAGAACCACAATCATCCATATCCACGGCTCATTTACAAAAGGCCACATCCAATAGAGCTTTCATTTTCTTTTTCTCTCTGCTCTATTTATGTTTTTAGTTCCTCATATCCTTTTATCACTGTACATTAGACGTGATATGGTTTTGGATTTTGCTTTAAGCTTACATTAAACCTTCTGTTTCTTCAAGGTAGGTGTGTATCCGCATTTCATAGAAGGAGCCAAGTACAAAGATTACAGAAGAAGAGCATAGGTTATTTTTTGCTTCTATTTCAATATATACAACTGTTCAGTTCAGATAGCCGTGAGTTATTAAAGTAATATCAGCGAAGGCTAAACAACTCTCTACACAGTTTAACAAATATTGCAGCTGTTGGACAACATAATGGACTTTTAAAGCTTTTTTAGTTAAGAATGTAGTTGTTTAGATTGCAACTGTGCAGTTTATTGATACTGCCTAATTGAAAATACGTTTTCATAAATTCAGGACTTTCAGCACATCGGCGATCATCACATCACAATCATATTGCCCATCGTGAGCACATGACAGCTACTTATTTAAAAGTATAGTGGGTGTCTTTATTTTAGTCTACTGTAAAATGTTATTTGTTTAGGCTATATCCAAAAGCAATATTTTGGTCACAGTCATCTGTTATTTACTCTAGAGCAAATAGATATGACTGCAATGTTAAGTTTAGCTTAATGCTGACTGACAATTTGGTTGTTGTCCTTTAGACTGATTAACTTGTGTTTATATTGTTGTTTGTTAAATGTTGTTCATATAAATTGTGGTAATATTAAATGTATTTTCGTAGTACAAATTTTGTAGTTATTTAGCACGACTTTTAATGGCGACACGGTGGTGCAATACTGTCACCTCACAGCAAGAAGGTCGCTGGTTCGAGCCTCAGCTGGGTCAGTTGGCATTTCTGTGTGGAGTTTGCATGTTCTCCCCGTGGGTTTCCTCCAGGTGCTCCGTTTTTCCCCACAAGTCCAAAGACATGCGGTACAGGTTGGGTAAGCTAAAATTTTCCCCATTGATGGGTTGCAGCTGGAAGGGCATTCGCTGCGTAAAACCTATGCTGGATAAGTTGGCGGTTCATTCCGCGGTGGTGACCCCAGATTATAAAAGTGACTAAGCCGAAAGTAAAATGAATGAATGAATAAATGAATGAATGAATGAATAAATGAATGAATGAATGAATGAATGAATAGCTCGACTTTAGCAAATAATTTGATGTTAAATTGTTGCACCACAAGATGGCGACAGAGACTGCATTATAAGCCAGGGGATAAAAATGTTTTTCTGTGAAGTGAAACTTGAACAAATCATTACAGAACAAGTGACTTTTAAGTTGATCTCTTTTCGATGTTTTAGTGCTGTTTTTATACCAGTCTGGTAGTGTTTATGGTACTAGTGCTTGCAATTTCTTTATCATTCCTTTGCGGCATCCAGGAGTCTCTATGCATAAGCGGGAGACTCCCAGAACTTCCCAGAGACTTGGATCGTCTGCTTGCTTTGCTTTGGCTTTTTCAGGGTTAATAATTGTAATCTCCCAATTGCAACAGAGAAATACTGGGAAATCTCTGTAGACTGATGGCATTTGCCTGTTCAGTCTTACAATCCCAAAATGTCAGCAAAATCACCTGCTTTGTCATTACTTTAGATATTACACTAGAAATTCACAAAATTATTCGAGTTGCGAGATCTGCTGTGTGCAAGATTTAGGCCCAATAAGTAATAATTCTGTTTTGTCTGAGTTTAAGAGAAGAAAATTGTTGGTCATCCAGTCTTTGATGTCTTTGATACACTCAGTTATTTTAGAAAGTTCAGACGTCTCGTCAGGTTTAGTTGAAATATATAATTGAGTATCATCTGCATAGCAGTGAAAGCTGATCCCATGTCTTCTAATAATGTCTCCCAGAGGTAGCATGTAAATTGTAAACAGTAAAGGGCCTAAAACTGATCCTTGAGGCACCCCATACTTTACTTGGCTGACTTGTGAAGGCTGTCCATTAATATTCACAAACTGGTAGCGGTCAGTTAAGTATGACTTAAACCATTGTAGAGCCTGTCCCTGGACACCTGTAGACTTTAAGCGATTTATGAGGATATTGTGGTCAATGGTATCAAATGCCGCACTAAGATTGAGTAAAACTAATAGCGAGACGCACCCTCGGTCAGCAGCTAAGAGTAAATCATTGGTTATTTTCACTAAGGCGGTTTCTGTACTGTGGTGAGCCCTGAAACCTGACTGAAACACTTCAAAAATATTGTTCGTCTGCAGAAAAGAGCATAACTGAGTGGAAACAACTTTTTCTAGTATTTTAGACATAAATGGAAGATTTGAAATAGGCCTATAGTTAGCTAAGTTTTTGGTGTCTAGTTGCGGTTTCTTAATAATAGGCTTAATAACAGCTAGCTTGTAAGAGTTTGGAACATGGCCTATAGATAAAGAAGAGTTGATAATGTTAAGAAAAAAGTTTGGCATCTCCTATTTTCTGTCTAAAGCCTTCTATCTTATTACTGAAAAAACTCATGAAGTCATCACTACTAATTTGCGGTGGAGTAGTTTGTTCCAAGGATGACCGATTATTTGCTAATTTAGAGATGGTGTTAAATAAAAATCTAGGATTGTTATGATTATTTTCTATCAGTTTGCGCAGGTGCTCGGTCCTGGCAGATTTTAGAGCCCTCCTATAGCTGGACATACTACATACATGGTCTTTGTACGCAATTCTAAAGACCTCTAAATTAGTTTTTTTCCATTTACGTTCCAAGGCGCGGGTTGCTGTTTTGAGCGCACGAGTATGACTATTATACCATGGTATAGTTTTAATCTCTCTAGCCTTTTTTAATTTGATGGGTGCCACAGTATTTAGTGTGCTAGTAAAGATGGCATCCATACTGCTGGTTACTACATCAAGATCATTTGAGTTTGCGGGTGCATTACGAAATAGAGAAAGATCAGGTAAGTTATTTATAAATTCATCTTTAGTTGACGGAACAATAGTTCTACTAGGGCGGAGTATTGGAGCGGGTTTGCAGATTTCAGGTAAACACAGCTTATATAGTAAGAGGTAGTGATCTGTAATATCATCACTTTGTGGTATAATGTCTACGTCAATAACCTCGATTCCATAAGACAGAATTAGATCTAATGTATGCTTTAAGCGATGGGTTGGACCCACAACGTTTTGCTTTATCCCAAGTGAGTGTATTAAATCCATAAACGCGAGCCCTAATGTATCATTAGCGTCATCTATGTGGATGTTAAAGTCACCTACAATTAGCATTTTATCAGTTTTGACTAGTAAGTCAGAAATAAAATCAGAAAATTCTTTTAGAAATAAAAGGGGGTCCTGGGGGTCTATATATGGTGATTAAAGCGAGAGATAACATATATATATATATATATTTTTTTTTTTCAGAGAAAATCTTATTTGTTTTTTATTTGTTTTATTTCAGCTACAATAAAACAGTTTTTAATTTTTTAAACACCATTTTAGGGACAAAATTATGAGCCCCTCTAGAAGCTATTTCTTTTTTTTTTTTTTTTTGATAGTCTACAGAACAAACCATCAATATACAATAACTTGCCTAATTACCCTAACCTGCCTAGTTAACCTAATTAACCTAGTTAAGTCTTTGAATGTCACTTTAAGCTGTATAGAAGTGTCTTGAAAAATATTGAGTCAAATATTATTTACTGTCATCATGGCAAAGATAAAATAAATCAGTTATTAGAGATGAGCTATTAAAACTATTAAGGTTAGAAATGTGTTGAAAAAGATCTTTCTTTTAAATAGAAATGGGGGGAAAATAAACAAGCGATCTAATAATTCAGGTGGGCTAATAACTCTGACTTCAACTTTTTATAAATAGCCTACCAATCTACAAACTTTACAGTTTACTGAATGCAGTCTGTACATTAAAATTATTACATTCATGGGAAGTCCCCATAAAGATAGTACATTTGTACAATTGTGTGTGGACTGTGTGAGTGTGTTAAGAGTTCATTTGCAAAATCAAATAACCTCTCTTTTTAGAATTGTTTCCTTTTTTTCTATTGAAATCATCAATGCTTAAGGTAAAAACAAGATTTCCGAACACTAAAAACCTCCAGTTTTAGTCATTTCCATAAATCATGTTTTCCTTTTTTGCAATTGTTGTCTTCAATGTACAACATGCAAACATGATATCTGAAAATGAATGAAAAATGAGTTAGTCTGTTTTAGCAAATGAACTATATCCTTTATATTTATATATTCATAGACCTCTCATGTTGAATTTAAAAGGAATCAGTGAACCTGCTCAACATTGCAAGACTATGCCTTTCAACAGGATGATGTTGGCTTGTCCCAGCAGCCACTATGCAAAACATAGCATGTTTGAACCAGACAACTGCAAGAAAATTTAAGAACAAATGCAATTATTCCTGCACCTTAATTTAAGTGGCACAAACAAGCACAGCAATTTTATACATATGAATATGTGTCATATACAGTATTTAAAAAACATATATATTAGGTTTTCATGTGTGGGTTTTATATATTATATTATATTATATTATATTATATTATATTATATTATATTATATTATATTATATTATATTATATTATATTATATTATATTATATTATTTTATATTATATTATATTATATTATATTATATTATATTATATTATATTATATTATATTATATTATATTATATTATATTATATTATATTATAGTCT